ACTGGTTCGACCCAAACTCACCACCAAGAGCCATGCCGCAATAACAGACCGGGCATCGCCAGCGGAACACACTGGGAACCTTCCGCATGCGGCATGTGCCCGGATTCGTGGTCAAACCATTAACTGCTCAGCAGAGATCGAGAAAGGTGTGGGCAGCGGACGCTTAGCCTAAGACTTTTTCATTCCATTGGGTGTATTTGGCGTTTTTTAGGGGCCGTCCTACCCTACAAACGAGCCGACGCGAGTGGTTTCGGCCGCTGACAGCCAACTGAGGCGAACGCTTGGTGATAGTGGCGCGGGCAACGGGGGCCTAATCAACTCATAGCGGCGACGCGGCTATGGAAGGTTAGGACCCTGCCCGGGCGCCACTGAACGTGACCGGAGCAAAGGGAGACGGGGGTCGGAGATAGATAAATCACCCCGCCGACAGACGCGGGGCAGACCCTGACTAGGGGTGGTGCGAAGGGGAGTGTAGGAACGGGCGCGCCGCTGGCAGGAGAGCCGAGAGGCGCGAACGGCAGTCGTCGACTGCGACGGACGGCGAGTGGAGCAGAGAGTGGGCGAGAAGTTTCCCACCCACCCTCACCTATTTAATAGATGCGACTTCGAGATTCGTCAAACCTGCATATCCTTAATCCCGACCATATACCTCGTCGTTATCACTCCGTCGGTGCGTTTTTTAGGGGCCGTCCTACCCTACAAACGAGCCGACGCGAGTGGTTTCGGCCGCTGACAGCCAACTGAGGCGAACGCTTGGTGATAGTGGCGCGGGCAACGGGGGCCTAAACTATATTTGTTGAAATAATTCCAGTAAACTGCGCCTGGAACAGCCAGTTATCTCGAAGGATCATGTAACGCTGCCTCATGACAACCTTACGATGCGAGCGAGCTCCCACCTAGCACGTAAGTGTCAACGGATGTGTGTCAGATTTCAGCCAAGCATGCCTGTGTGACCAGCTGAGTCGCGGTTGCGGGCCATGGGAATCCCCATCAGTCGCGCAATGGAGGCAGTCTCGCTTCAATGTCCAATGATGCAGGTTATATTGTGCAGCATCCTGCTTAATTGTGTACGTACAGCTGTTTGTAAATGTTATCTCATGTATGTAATGACTGATGATCCAGGTGTCATTGACTTTGTCTCTTTGACTTGTCCTTTTGAGTTTTTGGATTTTGGCTTTTTTTCTTTGGATTTTTTCGTAGTTTGACTTTATGTCCTGTTGACTTTTCGTCTTTTGACCTTTGTCCTCTTCACTTTTTGTCCTTTTGAGTTTTTTTTGTCCCTTTGATTTTTTGTCCTTTTGACTTTTTGGACTTTGACTTTATGTCTTTTTGACTTTTTGACCTTTTGACTTTTTATTTTGACTTCATGCCCGGTTGACTTGTTGTTTTTTGACTTTTTGTCCTTTTGACTTTCTGTCCTTTTGTTTTTTATTTTGACTTTATGTCCTGTTCACTTTTTGTCTTTCGACTTTTGTCCTTTTTACTTTTTGGCAATTTGACTTTTTGCCGTTTTTACTTTTTGTGTTTTGACCTAATGTCCATTTGACTTTTTGTCTTTTGACTTCTATGCTAGTTGACTTTTTGTTCATTGACTTTTTGGCAATTTCACTTTTTATCTTTTGACGTTTGATCCTTTTTGACTTTTTGCCTTTTGACTTTCCTCTTTGTTGACCTTTTACCTGTTGACTTTTAAGATTTTTGACTTCTTGCTTTTGACGTAATGTCTGTTGACTAATCATCCTTTTACCTTTTACCATTTGACTTTTCGTCCGGAACCCCAGTGAGGCGGGGACGGGCGGTGGGCGAGCGGGGTCCGAGCCGGACCGGGTCCGGCCTGGCGGCAGCTGCGTCAGGGCTATCAGCGCAGTTGGGCAGTGGGGTAGACGCCGCACAGATGGTCAGCGGAGAATGGTCGGATCAGCTGCAGAATTTGGGTCAGTGCAGTCGGCAGACTGTGGCTCCAGTCACAGACAGAACTAAACAGCGTAGTCACTAGTCAGCAATCGGCAGACTGTGATGAGGAGCCCCAGTCCCAGACTGCAAACAAGAGTGCTGTCAGCATCAGCAGACTGGTCAGACTGAAATGTGGACTGCATGTGTTCGCTAGTCATCAGCTCTAAGCGCATTATCTGGTTCATTCCTTTTGTAACGAGATCGGAATGCGATGTGTGTTCATTGTGGCTCACACTTGAACAAGAATTTTACGACGCCATGAAATGACGCATGAAGAACAAATGCTAGTGGAACAAGAAACATTCCGTGGGAATGAGACACGGCTGAAGTACCGTGAACCAATCCCTGAAATTCCACATGGAGCACGGTGCGACAAAGCCGGAGCTGTGCAGACGGTCACAGAGGCCAGCTCTGGACTCCACACCGGCCCACAAACGGCCTGTGAGCCGGACTCTCGACCAGCTGACCGTCAATTGTATGATGTGCCTGACGAGACAGCTCGAGAGCAGCTCTGAACGGAGCTTTTTAGAGTCTGCAGGGCGGCAGCTAAAATGGTGCTCCATCACATCTGCTGCGTATAAGTTCACGGGCGAATGACGCTACTCCGTCTAGCGGTCCGTGGCCTCGTTCATCTCTTATGTCTGTGTCGGCTTCCTGAAGCACTTATCTCGGCACTGTAGCATTTATTTTTGCCCTCTGCATTGCACGCCTCCGCAGCTGGTGTCTGCGCTGTTTTATCCACAGGCGCCCTGTTCCGTATACGGTCCAGCTACAGGCGCGTAACCACGAGTATGAAGTTACTGGGGACCACATGGTAGGCCACGAATATTTTTTTCCGGATCAGCCTTCGCCCGAATGGGGGGGGGGGGAGAGAGAGGAGAGAGGCGTTTTTGACCACACCTGCCAGTTATTTGTTGCGCGTGATAAGGAAAACCTCGGCGCACACCGCTGCGAAACTTGGTATGGCTTATATGATACCTCAATTTCGCATCGTGTTTGAAAATTTTGACCCCAAGTCACCAAGGTCAGATCACCAGGTCAGTAAAGTAACCATGCCTCTCAAAAACTTTGTGACTCTATCATTCCTACAGTTTAAATCCCAGAAATTTGAAACTCGACCTTTTGCATGAGGAAATAAATCAGTATGAACAATTCGTATATCTCAAAGTTTTCACATCGGTGATCTAATGTCAGGTCAATTTTACGGCCTCTCAATTATAAGTCATTGGGAGAAAATTAAAATGCTCTTCTTTTGGCCGAGAACACATTCAAACACCGTGAGTCGTGACACAGGTAAACATGACACACCGGAAAATTGCACCTGTGACCCCTTCTATGCCCCTGAGCTCATCTCAGGGCATGAAACATCTCCAACAGTTTTTTTTTTGCCACAACTTTAGATAGAAACATGCTAGAGCGCTGATAACACCATGAACGTGTTCAGCTCAACAAACCAATCAAATGACATGCAACATGACCTTTTCCGTGACCTGGACAAGGAGTCAAAGTTTCAAGTTGACCTTTTCAGGTCAACTTATAGTTCGTTCGATGCGTCTCGACGAGACAAACACGATGCCGGTAAAATCAGCGTCATACAAGTTTGGAGTCCCAAAGTTATGATACCAAAACCTTTTCCGCAAAAACGCCAGCCTGAAAGCTAAACCGTTGACCCTAGGTCAAATCTGAGAAAATTATTCAGAAAGGCCTTTGAAAAAGAGCTATCGAATGCGCTTTCCCGCAACACTGCAGCTCTATTGGTTTCTGACTTATGAGCCGATTTGTGAAAAGTTGTCAAAATCTGGAACACAAGTTCGTGAAAATTTTACATTTGGTGACCTCCAGTGACCTCAGCGATGACCTGATCGAAAATGGCGTAGGTAATTCTGAAAGAGACTGTAGCGAGCTATCTGTTGCTTTTTACCGCGTCTTTCTAGCTTGCTTACTTTCCGAGATAATATGGTGTGGCAACCCCCCCCCCCCCCCCCCCCACCATGGCGAAGTTGGCTGCGATGCCCACCCGGGCGCTGGCTAAACAAAACATCCATGGTTTTGTCCTCCGTTGAGTCGTTGACTACATATTACTCTTCACGTCGATTTAGAGACAATAATTCGCTATTTAAGCAAATTGAGGAAGTCGTCGGGTTTACTGGGGACGGTCCCCAGTAACCCAAAAGCTACTGGGGACAGGTCCCCAGTGTCCCCAGTGGTGGTTACGCGCCTGTCCAGCTAGAGGGCAGGCTTCTGTCAAAAACGCATGGACGTCACATATTTTGTCAGCGAGATCCGCCTTTTTACACCGGTTGATTGGATTAGTGTGTCGGCTGTAGCGGTGATCTGGCGATCCCGCTCGGTCTGCCGGCCCTCAATATTAGCGTCTGGCTCTCGATATATCGCCTTGGCCCTGTTGTTTGTCGGGTGGTGCGTGCATCGGTCGGCGGCTGTGCGTGACAGTCGATATGATAGGCCAGTCCTCCGGGCCGGGCGTGTCTCCCCTGCTTCGCCGCCCCTCGGGAAATGCTCGTGATGAAGATATTCACGGACGTGAGGACCGACCATTAGGAATGAGGGCGGTGACAGGGTAGGGCAGCATCAGATATTGCACAACCGACCCTCGAGAAGCCGATGACAGTACCTTGCAAACTCTAACTCGGAAGGACCGTGCAACGCGTGCTTTATCTACAAATGGTCGGTGTTGTTACTTGGTTCTGTATGTTCGACTTTATTTTTAGTCCCATAGCACACTAGCCGTGCCAATGTGATGCCAACTCACCACCCTTGCATTGTCGCAGGAATCTCACTGAAGGGAAGAAACTTCAAATAACTTAATCGCGTTTACAATGAAATGTTGTCAGATACAGAAAGTATTGATGACGAACGAATATAATTATACATAGATAGACATCACCATGCAGCGCTAAATGAAACAGGAAAGTCGCACACTTTAGGCAGCTCACGTTCATTGTATGCATGCCTACGGTGCCCAAGCTGCAAGACGTTCTACATAAGAAGTCCATTAGCTGTCCCGCCACGCTCAGAAGCTCTGGGCCATAAACGGAGCACGACTGTGCACTGGCCGGTGGGCGGCGGCCATCAACCCAATTAGCTGATGACAAATATCCGCGTGTGATAAGCCCACCCAGAAGTCGCGCTGAACGTCAATCGGTCCATGCATCATGCTGTTTTTATCTGAGTAATTACTCGATATAAAAACAGCGGTGGAGAATGAGAGGAAACACGAGGTCAGCGTAAGTCAGGCGGCTGGCGGGGAGCAAGGGGCGGAAGCCGCACTGCCGGGCGGTGCCTCTGCAATCGGCCCACCGTTAGTGGGCAGGGCGGCCGCAATTTGAGCCACACTTATCTAAATAGGCCAATCTCGTGCTTATGAGGAGGCTGCACGGTAGCGATTGAGATTGCATTCCGCCGCACGGGAGTGCCGCCCGGACAAAGTTTGTTTGCAGCTATCGCGAACTGTTCATGACAGCCGCCCACTGACCGGGGTTAATTCACTCATCAGGTGACGGTTTGGGATAGGGTTGTGTGCTCTGATTTTAGAACTCTATGGGCGAAGCAGATGGGATGGCAGGTTGTGGAGAGGTGGGGGTAAGCGGAGAGGGGCGGACTGGAGGAGTTCCGTTTCCTAGCTGGGGACGAGACGGTGAATCAGGAACATGTGACTGCACTGCGGCCGCCCACCAGCTCGGGTTCGAGCCGCGTGACCGCAGCAATGTGCCGGAGAAGTGACGTCGTCTGGAAACTAGTTAGACAATGAACGGCTTGAGGCAGCCGGCACGACAAGAAACCTTTGTTTGCCGTGAGTGCATGACATAACTTGTCCTGGGATGACAGAAAACAGCCAGATAATCGTCAAAGTTTCGAAAAATCAGCCTGGTCCCTTTCGCTGCCATCCTGAAGTTTAAAATGCATCCCAGAAGATCACGGAATAAATTTATTTTTTCCTTCTATTTACTGAGAAAACGTTTGAATTCCTTATCAATTGTACTTGCAACAATCACAATCCGTGAACCTCTGTCCACAACTAGGAAAGAAAATGAGATAACAACCAACCACTGCCCTCCTCCATCCACTGTTCCGTTGCAAGCAAACAAACCAAACAGCGGCCGGCGGCTGCATGTTGTGGAACGCCCCGCGGCTCGGTTTTCCACCAGCCGCCCATCACACTGCTGACCGCCGCTTTACTTGTCCATCGTCGGCTGCCGCTCGGGTCAGCCACTAAATACAACACGCTAACCCAATAGTATCAGCAGAGACTCAGGATACGTCTGCCAGAAATAGCTTATCTGGATCAATTGCCCAATTCCTGACCAACTGCAAGAGAGATGATTTGGTAGAACGGCATGGCCACTGCATGGTCCACCGAATGCTCTAATTATAATTCAATAAAAACAGCGGTACATGTCCGAGTATTAGCTTGGTCTCACACATATACGTTTTACGTCAGTCCCGTCACACCATTTACATTAGCGTGTCCTGAATTCGGCGTGGCGGCCATTTCCGCGGCTGCGCTTCCTCTGGGTGTCAGTGCGGTCGGCGCGGTCGGCCCGCCTTCCGGGGTGTTTAGGAGGCACTGGAGCGTGCGGCGACCTCGCGCGGCGGTCGGGCGGCGGGCTGTGCAGAGAGCAGTGCAGTACGCGGCGGCAGTCAGTCCGGTGTCGGCGGCTGCAGAGAGCGAGCCATCGCGCCGCCGCCGTCACCATGTCGGCCGTCTCCCGAGTGCACCGCCAGCTCCATGTGAGCGGCTCGGGCGGCACGCTGACGCTCGATGCCGCCTCCCCCAGGTGGTTGGATTTTCGGAGCAGCACCATGCCGTCCGTGGTGAAGAAGGAGGTGAAGACCTCCACCAAACGGGACCCCCAGGTGAGTGTAGCTCCCTAGGCCGCCAAAACAAGACCCCAGGTGAGTGCCACTGGTTCCACCAGACGGCGGGTGTGCCGCCCCGTGTCCCTTCAAAGGCAAAGTCCAAACGGAGCAAAGAGGTGAGTGAGTGTCGCCCTTGTCTCTTCCTGAGGCAAGTGCCAACCTGTATCCCTTTCAGAGCGAGTGGCGCCCTGACTCCACAAACAGGACCCACCGGTGAGTGAGTGCTATCGTCCTTTCCCGCGTCCCTTAAAACGGGACCCAAAGTGTCACTCCCGACTCCGTGTCCCCTCCAGCGGGGAGTGCCGCCCCGCGTATCTTCCACAGGAGAAGAATGTCGTTCCGTGTCTCTTCCAGTGTTGTGTCCTGCGCCTCTCACAAACGGGACACACAGAGCACTCGCAGAACGGGCCCCAGATTTGAGTGCTGCCTTCCAAAACACTCCCACACAGCCGACAGGGAGTTCATGTTTATATCCTGACCCGTGACCGTGAGAGTTAAATCACTCGACGAGTGCATATACACAGCGTGAGAGACTCTTGAGATAGCACGCTTCCTTGCCGTATTCAGATGAAAGTTAATTGCGCGGTTTTAGGGTCTGTTGCCGAGCGAGGTTTTAGGGGTATCTGGACAAATGCGGACCACCATCGTGGGTCTTATCGTTGGTAGTTTGGCAAACGATAAACTGAGGTCACTGTTTAGATGAAATGAATATCATGTACTGAATCTGGATGCACAGTTGCACAACATTCCGGGGCAATGTTTTGCGCATGGTTTACGCTAGGAAACATGTTGGGTTCCTGCGGGCGCCTGGACCGTTCAATGATGTGACTGGCGAGTTAACCCGGCAGTTGCTGGGGTATTTCGCCACCCACCGTTTGCTGGGGGGGGGGGCGTTAAACGCCCCCAGCCGATAACTCGAGAACCAATAGGCGCAGCGAAACGCACGGGGCGGCAAACGAAAGAGCGCGACGAGACGCTTCAGATGAGTACTTTAAAGTTGAATTTTGAGGTCACAGGTCGGGTCAAGGTCAGGTCAAATACCTGAAATCGGCCTTTCAGGAGCATGGACTTCAGGACTTCGCAATGGGCGCCTCTCGCCATAAACTCTGTCAAAACGGTGCACAATCCATCTTATAAGGCCTACAAGAGTGTCAGCTCCATATAGGGGTCAGTCAAGCATAGGTCAGGGTCAAGGTCAGGTCAACCAGGTAAGCACATATCCCCGAAAATCAAAACTGATATTCGCAGCCTGTGACACATGTTTTATAGGTAATTTGGGGCGTAGAACACGATGGTGACATTCATTTTATCATATGTGTACGTGTTTGGCTCAAAAAGTTCAATTTAAGAAATTCATGTATCATGGTCGTGAAGAAGTCACGAAAAATTGCCAAGATTCAGTTCAAGATTTTGGAAAATGCGGAACGATAATCAATAATCGAAGATAGCCATTTGATTGATCATGGTATTGGCAGTCTAATGGCGTTTACGGCATGTCTGTATGTCTATTCTGTGATTTTATATGATTTTTTGAACATATGCCTTTTTTGGTCGAAAACTCAGAAATCATGACGTCACTAAAACCTCGATATCTCAAAAATTTTCCGACCGATGTTTTTGAAACTTTGTCACAATAAACTTCAATCAATTCCCTACAGGTACCCAAAATTTGGCGCGCCTGCGGCGCGCCGTTTTTATGCTATGGCCCGGCGAAAAAAGTGGGGGCGTTTAACGCCCCCCCCCAGCAACTCGCGGGTTAACGCCGGTTTAGCAAGCTTTCCTATGAATCGTTCTGCATTCATACCCGTGCACGGAGCTGACATATTTTCCGTACCAAGTCAGGTCATTTAGCAGAGGGATACACAACGCACACTATTACCTGTTACTATCCTCAATCCATAACCCGCAAAAACCTCATCTACATACATCCAGGTATTCCCGCCGATCAGGTTCCGTTACCGTACACGCCACACACGCCTGTCAGGTTCACAGGCACGTTGACGCTGTTTACCAAACACGGCGGGTGGTCGGGACGCCGGCCCATCCCGTGCTCGCGGCTCATCATCACGCGAGCCGCGGGCCGCCAGCTGTAGTGATCGCTGCACGCGCGGCTCTCACCGTGAGCCGGTGCACAAGGCCGTGCACCGTGACGCCAGATCAGTGACTTCTCACAGTCAACGCACAGACAGACGCGCATACACGACAGTCGACAGTGCAACTAGCTGGTGTGTTCGTACAGCGCCTTGCCGACCTATTTCGGACCACATCAGGACGAGAGGAAGTCATGGAGGCGAGGGGAGGGGAGGGGACGGGAGGGGAGGGGAGGGGAGGGCGTGGGCGGACCATCTGCGCCGCGCTCCAGGAGCGGCTCTTGCAGAGCTCCCGCTCACGTCACGCCGAGACCAGAGTCCCGGTCACGAGGCTAGGTTTTCGGGGTGCTTGGGTTCTGTGTATATTGCCATCTGCACGTGTTTAGCAGAAGGACCTGCATACCCTGCAACTGAGCACGGTTCAGTTGGCGTGGAGACGAGTCGGCTTCAAGGAAACGGATACGCAGCTGGAAAAGTCTACGCCTAAGGTTATAGAGAAGTTTCATTTCATAAACTAAAGAAGTTCTGTTCGGTCACTGAGGATTTATACTGGTCTGTAAACTTGCTTTCATATGCATGAATATGCATAATTTAAATTTACGAAGTAGACCCTAACGTGGAAATCCAGCTGCGGGCGGCGTGATAACCTTATATCGTATTTCAGTTAGCTCCGACTTCAAAGTCATGCAGCGTAAGTTCATGCTCACATCCGTGTCTTCTCACGATCATGTCGCATCAAACTCTCACTATATGTGAACTTCTAACCGAGCGCGGTCAAATACAGGGCGATATTGAGTTAACGAGGCGCACGCTGCGACCACCAGCCGGTCACATTACCCCGCCGTGCTCGCTGATATAGGTCTGGGTACGGAGGAGCTGTGTGTTGTCTGGGGCGCTCTGGCTGCCTGTACTCGTCTATGCACAGTTTGCACATGCCGTCTGCGCACGCTACCGTGGTCTCTGAGAGCTCTGACGCCACTGAGCGACGCGGTGGGTTTGATGATCCAGCAAGACCACGCGTTGTGTCCCACCGTCTACTTACATCATTACAGCGACCTCACTGCTTCGGTAGTTTGACATTTGGGGTCACTGGAGAGTGGAGAACGGGGGTGAGGGATAGAGGAGGAGAATGGAAGAGTTGTTGCCTTGGGAAACCGTCGGCAGTCGCCGCTCGGCTCCACACTTGCCTCAATTGAGTCCTGGCGCGGTCATACGACTGCGGAGTTCTGCGCACTTGGACCCGCCTCAGCCCGGCTGTAGCGCGCACCTCACCGGCGCTCAGCACTCACAAGAGCGACCCACAGCCGACTGACACCTCACCCCGCTGACCCCGGCGACCTCTCCTGACCTCAGTGACCTCTGCTGACCTGCGGGTAACCAACCGCTGCCCCATGACCTCACCAACAATCACCAAAGGCAGCCGTCAATCGTCCGAAACCTCAGCACCGCCGGTTTAACTCTGATTAGCTCATTTTACCCCAGCTCCCACAACTCACATCAGCCTTCCTGAGCTCACTCTAGCTCACCCAAACTCTGCTCACTCCCGACCGTTCATTCGTCAAGCAGTAGGTATGTAGTTGTTAGGCTGAAAGCTCCAACGGGTATGGTGGTTGTCGAGAACTGTACTGCTCGGTGCAGTACAGTTCAGCACACACCGAACAATGCCCCAGCCGGATTCACTGCTTGTTTTACGGGACAGCGGCCCGCCCACCAGTTTGCGATCAGAAAGCGCCGCCTCCTCCCCTTTCACTCTACCCGCCGCTCCCTGCTCTGCCTCGGCCACACCCACCTCTCTGTGAGCTCTGTGCAGCACCACGGCCCCTCGGCGCTGCTGGCTTGGGCTTCGCTAGCAGGAATATCTCGGTACCCGTACCGAGATAGTCGGAGCGATAAGCCGTAAGACGTCTGACTAACACGCGTTTCGGCCGAATATTTGCACTTCAAGTGTCAACGCCCGTTAGATGGGCCTGGGAACCGAACAGGCATAAACTGACGAAAAACACATTCCAGTAATGAACCTGCAGATTTAACATCCTCTGCTCACGCATATCGTTGAAAGCGCGGCGCCTGCATCGGTTAGCTGTGCAAACTCCGGCAGCCTTCGGCAAGTGGTAGCGACACCAGCTCACCTACATATTTGCGTTATCGACTGAACGCAAGGTTAGCAATGTATACTGACGCGGAGAAGGTAAACCTGCGTGTTGACGTGCCTTGCCTTACATACACAAGGCTTTACAAAGTCCGACCTTGGCGATAGCACACCGAAGCATTGAGTCATATGAACCGAGCTTTGATAGGTGCTACTCGGGTATCAGCTTCTGAAAGGTCCAGGGCTCTTTCGGGTGCAGTATGCCTATAGGGCCAGCAATTGGCCAATATCGGTCGGTATTTACAGCACGCAGTCACACAGGCGGCCTCACAGGCGGCTGGAGCAAACGAGTGATGTGGTAACTGATAACTGAGGTCACTAAATCCCATCACTGGCGGATCTAACATTTGGGGCAAACGCCCACCTCGCAGCGGCCGAAACCGATGAAAATTTGTCGTTTTTCTAGAAAGGAAAGAAGACCACACACTATTCATAAAAAAGTTTGCTTTAAACTGCACAGCCGTGCAAAAGGAATCGATATCCGAGTTTTCCAAAGTCGGCGATTTGTTCGGGGGTCTGCCCCCCCCCCCTCCGCAGCGTCCGAGACCGCCTGTTTGGCTCAGCCTTTGAATCCCATTGCACCGAGACAGCACTTGCACCGCAGATACCGTATTTTTACTCGCGTCTGGTTCCCTATCGGTATTTATCAACCACTTACGGCCTCAAAGCAGGTACAGTCTACGGAACTTGTATGTATCTGTGATTTAGAGATTATCAGTGGCATGCATCTGAGAGGGCCCTTGAGATATACTATGTTAAGTAACTCGTTTGGCACGGAATAAAAAAGGGACACCCAGTGTGACACTATCACGATGAACCGTCGGCCGGTCTTTCTAAGAGATAGCCGATAGCACACCGAGACGAAAATGATGTAACTAAAATACCTGTAGATTTATACATCGTGCAAGTCTGAAACGGGATTTAGATACGCTCTTGTAAGTGCCCTAGCTCAACAGTCGCTGGCAAATGAGCATTAAATGCCATCAAACCACTCAATTTACCAGAATTCTTCCTCTATCAAAGCTCAACTTTAAACTAATGTATGGACGTGTTTCAGCACCCGGAGATTGAGATAATCACGACGGAGACCATCGAGACGCTGGACGACGGCTCGAGCACGACCACCATCAAGACGGTGAAGAAGGGGCCCGGGCTGGACACCTTCCACAAGGAGACGCGCCAGGCGCTGGAGGACAGCAAACGTGAGTCGCCGGGGCACGGTGGCGCGGCGGTGGCGAGGAGCTTTCTGGCGAGACGAAACAGCGTGTAATACTCGGCTCGTGATGTACGAGGCTACCATGCACCGGGATGCAGCAATTGCACGTTACTTTCACACCTGGTATGTGCCTATCAAAATGCCTACGTCAAACGATGCCGGCTTAACGATGCACCTCGCGATTTCGTAAGCCTGTATCCGTACAAAAACAGCGAGATGACAACTGCGATAGACACTCGACCAATATTGTCATCGTCGGATAGGGAAGACTTGGTCAATGCTAGGGTAACGGAACAGTTAGCATTAATTAAGAGAGCTAATGCTGCATATGACAGGCTGAGTACTGATTGCCACGGTCCCGGGTAAAATGCCGAACAAACACCGATTAAAGACGCCATATCGCTCGCACACGGATAAACGGAAATGTCATGAGCCCTCGGAAGCTCCGGGCGCGATAGAGGCCAATCGGTGACAAGCTGCTATCAGCAGGTGCTCGAATTGTCAGATAGTGTCCACTGAGCTACACTGTGTGTGCTACACGGTGTGTGCTACACTGCGTGTGCACTGACTTTTTGCACATTTAATGTTTCTCCTCCTCCAGAAACTTTGCATGACTTAAAGGGACCCTCCCACCTTCAAAAAAGTTAATGAATTGGCATGAAAGTGATGTCGCTCAGTTCAGAAAGAGCAAAAACGAATATCTACCAAATTTCATCGAAAAATATTCACCGGTTTTCAAGATATTATACTTTTACTTTTGTTTACTTTTTGGGATCTACGCTGCTCCTAGCGACTTTATTTGAAAGTGCGGCATTTGTTGCGCGCAAAGCAGCATATACCACCGCGCGCTACAAAATGTTTTAGTCAAACATTTAACGGACGTTCGAAAGCCTGATGACGTCATCAGATTCCCGTAATGGTTAAGAGATAGGGACCACGCTGGTCCCACCCTGCAAGTAAAGGGAAGAAATTTCTTGAACACCATAAAGCTGCGGGGGTTGCGACCAGGATAAATGGTGGTTTCTGAGCCTGGCCGCAAACTTGGCTATCTCAACTCAAAACTAATGTTAAGGTGGGAGGGTCCCTTTAAACAATGTTGGTTCACTGTCACACCAATACGACATTTTCTCGACGGATATTCAGAAAAAAACGCCTCGTAAATAAGCTTAATGTAAAATGCAGTTTTGTAGCGTGAATAGTCGAATACGCATGGATACTGGACACCAAATTTAAAAAGAAAACGCAAAACTGGATGTGAATTATGAAATTCGTGTAGTCTATTCTTCGCGTCTTCATTTCTTTATTCAATAGCATCTTATTCGTCTCTCTCACCGTCACATATTTTTGTCTCACATCTGCAGACGGTAACCGACGCCGGTCGTCTTCGTCATCGTCCGATGGAGGCAAACATCACGGTCGACGTAATCGCAGCTCCAGCCCTGAGAAGAAGAAGGGAGGACTACTCTCCAAGTTTAAGAGGGATAAGACACCCAAGTCGCGCAGCCCGAGTCCCAAGGCGTCGAAGTCCAAGAAAGACAAGGAGGTAGGTCACCCATCCTAACTACAAGACCTATACAACTTCACTGTAGACACTAGACACGTAGTAAAGCAGAGGGAATAAATCTGTTTTGGTTGCGAAATTAAAAGTTCGCCTCTTCCAACTTGCAGTGAGCCTTATCCCTTGTCCACACTTTACCGCTTTGAAGCCTTCTTCGTGAGTGGTGCAGCAAAGACAGAAGCACATGCATGCAATATAATGTTCCTTTTCGTTAAAAATGAACTACCTGCTTTGAGCCGCGGAAATTTTGGGTAATAACATAGGAAGAAAACGTTATATGCCTATATAGGTATGCAAAAAGTCTTAATTATAGGTATCTAAATTGTAGCACCAACAAAAAAAAACTCTATACTAACACAACTTTATTTAGGCTCTTCCCTTTTAAAATCTTTCCTTTATTTCTTATCAGCGTTTTGTTCAAATATCCACACCAAAAATGTGACGTCCAGAGGCAGCTAAATAATGAAGCAAAGAAACCACCCACAGAGAAAGCGCGAAGAATGAAATAAAGTTTACAGCATGAAGTCAACCAGCATGAATGATGAAAGTGGACCCGTGAGTACCATGATTGTACTGTCTTACTATTCATGGTCATCTTAAAAACTACTCTGCTAAATGCTATGATAAATGCTGCGCAGCCTTTCAATAGAGCGCCCGGCTAAACCTCATGTTAAAAGCGTAGAAAAATGGCCGAAAAGGCCCAAACCAATAGGGTTAAAAAGGAGAAAGTCGGTGACACAAATCGGTACTGAGGAAATCGTGGAACAAATCGAGGAATACATCGTACATTTGGAGCGAACAATCGAAGACCAGCGTGTATTCATCAAAAGTTTGTTAGAAGAAAATCGCACCCTTAAACTAAAACAAAAGATAAGGCGAAACATTGCCGATCCGCAAGAAACCTCCAACTCCCCAACAAGTTACGCCCACACAAGAATCAGCGGAGGTGCAAAGCATTCAAGGGAACCAACTCATAAGCTACAAAGCAAACCAAGGCCGCCCGGGCATATATATCTCAAGAAGCGTGACAATATGACTTTGATCGAGAGACTCTTGAATCCAGAGAATATCATCACACAGCCGTTTTCACGCTCGCAGCCTCGCCAGCGCCGTTCGAATCCCACTCTGGGGACGGTCCGTAGCTCGTCGGCAGGCAGGGGACAGAAGGCGGCCAATAATACCGAGCCCAGCCGAGTCCAGTCGCAGCAGACGTCCGGCCGACCCGGCGCGGAGATCAGGAGGCCGGCGGACAGCACCTGGATCCAACAGTGGCTCGAGGAGGAGGCCGCCGATGACGACTTGTGGTCCGACTACTGAGTTTGACGGATGCCATGACTCAACTGCAACTTGTTTCGAAAACATCGCTTTGCTTTTTGAGCATAACTGATCAACTGTTTGTATAACAATAAGAGCCTAAAACTTCGGAAATGTGTTTACACAACACTGGGATTATTTTCAAACGGGTTAAAACGACCATTGTCTTCATCCCATGCTGAGCCGCATATGTCGCAGATAATGCTACGGCACAGGAAGGATATATTCAGACAAGCCACTTTATCCACTTCTGGTCGTCTGTGTACCTCTCCGAATGGTGACGCACTGTTGCAATGAGATGTAACGACCACTGCACCACTGCACCAGCGCAAAATAAAATAAAAACAGCGAGCATGTTAAAAAAATGCAGACGAGACGTTTTTACCGAAATCTATTCTTCACGACATCAGATGAAGTCCTAATAAACTTGCAATAAACGTATACAATGTTGATGATAAATCAAGCTATGATAAATGATAAATGATGATAAATGACAATCTATATGAATGCGTTATTCACCTGAAAACAATCAATACGGGCAGGCTCTAATGGAACATCACCGAAGACCCTTAGCAAGCGTATTAGATTTTTGGGCCGTCACATTAGGCCGTGCAGATGAGCGGCAGTTCTTGCTACACCTCTACGCAGTCATTCTGGTCTTTTCACGTCCCATTTCCCCTGAAATTCGAAAGACAGTCAACGGTAATTACCTGCGCTGAAAAGTCCAGGTCCTCCGAACAGACGCCGATGCCCGTGCGGGTGACCTCAGATCGAAAAGTACCTAGTCGCTCAGAAGGCATTCAGGCGGTACATAGTCAGGCATCTGTGGCGGCTACCTCAACTCGGGGAGCTGTCTCTGTCAGCTGGTGTCTCCGATTTTACGGTTCTAAAATAACATACTGGGCTACCATTTTTTTTCCTACGCTGATGGCGCAAAAGCAGCAGGGTACTTCCCGTTCGACCCAGGTGGCTCATTTTTAGTGTGAAAGGCCTGAGCACCGCACTTTCCAGGCAATGCAAACCCTAAAGTGATCTATTTTAACCTCTCTTTTCTGTCGTTTCAGTCCAAATCGAAGAGCCGCCACCGCAGCAGCAGCAGTAACAGTTCCAGTGATGACGAGGACAGCTTCGAGCAGGACTGCATCAACGCCCACAACGACTACCGCAAGAAGCACGGCGCGCCGCCGCTCGAGCGCAGCAAAAAGGTGCGGGTGCCGCAAGTCGTGGGGTGTCAAACATCTTTCCACTCACCCAGTGCATGGGGATTAGCTGGATACCGATGGTCCTCCAATTGAATATTAAATATCATAACGGGTAAAAGATTCGAACTCATGCTGGTAAGCTTCACATTTCTTAGAATACTAATATTTTCACATGTAGTAGAGAATTCACCATGCTTTCATTTGAATTACAGGATACTAATTTATTGTCCCTCTTCCAGCTCACGAAGATGGCAAAGGAGTGGGCCAAGCAGATAGCAAATGACGACAAAATGTCGCACCGGAAGGACAACTCGGAAGGCGAAAACATCTACTGCAAGGTAGGGAAAAAGGTTCCCCAATCCAACGACCCGCCAATTCACTCTAACCACCCTCTAACCAGTGGAATTAACGTTCTAAAGTGTGATTTTTTTTCGTGTGTCCTAACATATATACCTATACTCATACGAATGGCCAAGGGGCAAGGGCGTTCCAAACCAACCCTAGAAAGTGGTCCTGTGACATGCTAACACCTTCCACGCTAATCTTGGACTAGGACCAATGTTTTCCTTTTCCATCGGTTCGTCGATTCATAAATCACCAGTCGCTCTTACCTTCTCAGCATTCTAGTCAGGGTAAACATAAATGACATCCGCTTCTACCAGCCAACGCCCACCTAAACTAGTTTTTCTCCGATCGCTGACAACTTGACTGGTCGAAAACAATAATCGCTATAAAAATTAATTGGAGGATAGTCACTATCATTCCTATTCATCCGCTGATCTTGCACATTAACCGTCTAAACGGTTGTCACTATTCCTTTCCCCTCGGTTCATTACATCCAGTGTCTTGAGACTGGCCAGTTTCCAAGCAGCTCACCAGTAACACTTTCCCTCTGTGCTCCTCGATCCTCGCCGTTTGATCCACTCACTCGGTATATTCCCACCGACTGGTGCCCTAACTCGACTGCAGTAGCGCCCTCTGTGTGCCACCTCTAACGGTCCGTTGCCGCGCTCTAACCCACCGCTGTGTGCCCCGCGCAGTGGTCCAGCAACCCCAAACACAAGGTGAAGGGCAGCGAGGCAGTCGACTCGTGGTATGCCGAAATCAAGGACCATGACTTCTCCAAGGAGCCCTCTCCTGGAGTGCTCAAGAGCGGTGAGGCACATTTACGGCTGAATCCACTGTCAACTTTGCAGGCATTCGATTGCAATGTGGCCGCTCTGCGTTCACATTCCATTGTTGACTTTTCATTGAGTTAAAAGATAATCGTAAATTACTTGGATGATTCACAATCCTTATTTGCCGAAATAAGCATATCACATGAATTGCATTATGGTAGCTTATGAGTATATTCTATTGGTGACCGGTTGCCTGCATGCCGAGCATGAAATATCACTTCACGTAATGGTGTCTGTTCTTTCTTGCGCATGTTAATATCTGCCTAACAAGAATCCTATAGGATTATCCTGCACTTATAACAAAATTATACCCCGTAAGCTTGAAGAATATCGCCTTGGTCTTCCTGTTGCAGTCTATACAATAGCCACATATTAGCCGTATAGTCAGAAAAAAAAAACAGCTTGGGCAGTTTCTATGTACTGATGCACCATATGCAAAATAATATCAAGCGCCGGTCGTTCAATATCGTCACTGGGAGGTCAGCTCTGGCTCTTTGTTTTCGAAGAAAGGTGCTTTCAACGAAGTTAACTCACACAAGGCGCGCGACCCATGTGACCTGCTCTGAAGCTCGATCGTTGTCCGCTCTGTCGACAGGCCACTTCTCTCAGGTGGTGTGGCTGAGCACCCGCCAGGTCGGCGTAGGCAGGGCGCGCTCCAAGTCGGGCCGGGTCTACGTGGTGGCCAACTACAGTCCCGCCGGAAACTTCCTGGGCGACTACTGCGACAACGTGCCGCCCGTCGGGTGAGAGGGGTTTCTGGGGAGAACCCTGCGACAGGGTACCGCCCGTGGGTGAGAGGGGTTTCTGGGGAGAACACTGCGACAGTGTACCGCCCGTGGGTGCAGAGCTCGACTTGGGGACGTGGCACAGAACTCTCGATAGGGAGGAGTGCCGGCCTGGGTCAAAATATGAAACGTTGGTTAAACGTGGATGGGAGAATATGTTGATTGTGAGCGCGGTTTATTACTAGATCAAACCAGTCATCCTCTTGCGGTGAAAAGAGGTATCGATGCCGCAGTCTATACTAAATCGCTGGTGAGTTTATAATCAACTGATTTTCTCTTCCATCGCAGCGGATTCCCGGCTGGCTTCAAGCCTAAACGTGACGCCCCGCGGGTAGAAAAGAAGAAGAGCAAGAGCAAGCGCCGAAGCAGCAGCAGCAGTAGCAGCAGCAGCAGCGACGAAGAGGACTTTGCCGAGGAATGCCTGAAGGCGCACAACGAGTACCGGAAGAAGCACGGGGTCCCGTCGCTGAAGCTGAACAAAAAGGTATGGCTCCCACCGTGGCATGTTAACACGGATGCATTAAAGCAGCAACATTATTTTTTTTTGTTATTTTGCTAACACGCGACGCAATGTGACCGACGGCGGCCACGAGCTCGGTTTGATTTGAAAAGAAGTGCTTGCGTGAAGACTTCTTACAGTTGCCTGGAAATCAGCTGGCTCTGGCGGGTTCAGAAATAAATGTGCCCAATATTCAGAAACCCTATTGGAATACTAGTTAACTTTTTCCACTTAACTAATTGCTGTTCTTCTTTTGCCGCGCTTAACGGGATAGCCTTCTAAAGGTGCAGCACATTCCACAGTATTCACGCATTGTGATCGGCCGTGTCCCCAGATGTGCAAGTACAGCCAGCAGTGGGCCGACACAATCGCCGAGAAGGACAAGATGGAGCACCGGCAGGACAAAAAGTACGGCGAGAACATCTTCTGCGTGTGGAGCGACGACCCCAAGTTCAAGGTGAACGGCCGCGAGGCCGTCGAGAGCTGGTACAGCGAGATTAAGGATCACAAGTTCGACGTCGAGCCGAAGGCGGGAGTCATGAAGTCGGGTGAGTGGCCGCAGGGAGTCGAGTGAAACGATCCGGTGTCAACAGAACAAAATTAATATAAATGCAGTATGTAGACGTGAAGCAAAATAGTTTATATGAAAGACGTGGACGGTATGCAGACAAGCTGTAGTTAACTCTCTTCGATATGACAAAGACACTGTGTTGAAGTATATACTGTATAGGCATGATCATCTTAATGATGGCCCGCCCGATAACCGACTGCGCTCAATGTTGTTGTTTTCAGGCCACTTCTCTCAGGTAGTCTGGAAGGAGTCCAAGGAGCTGGGGGTCGGCAAAGCCCGCTCCAAGAGCGGCAAGATCATGGTGGTCGCCAACTACGGTAATTACAGCGCTTCTTGTATCAAACATGCTATTTAGTTCAATTATCTTACAACTGACTGAATGCTTCAATCATTTATAAATGCAATCGCTGCCAACGTCGAGACAAATATTAAAGTGACCCTTTCCTATCGTTTCAGATCCGGCTGGCAACTTCATCGGTGATTTCACAAAGAACGTGCCCAAGCCCCTGTAAGAGCGTCCGAGGACAGATACCAAGTCACGGCCAGTGTTCCCCGCGAGCGCGAGCGATAAACCCCGCCGGCTCGAGCGATAATTTAGCGCCCCGCGAGGGTTTTAAGTGAACTGCTTGGTGACCAATGTGAAGCAGTCTTTTTCCACTGCCTCACGTGTGACCGTGAATGTCTGTGTGCGATTTCGAGCGAGTGCTGATGGATTTATATAGCTAGTCGGCAGGGCTTAGCTAGAGACAGAAGTCTATATTTTGAAAATGTGTGAAGTTTGTCAACCAATTCAGCGACATGGACAAGTGCATGCATAAAGTAAAACTGCAGCAGATGGATACTGCTGCATTTGAATGCGTAAAAGATATTTATTTATTGGCTAGGAAGTCAAACTTAAGACTAGGAAAAAAGTATTCAAAGAAGACTTCTAGGCACGCGGCGCTCGGAACGCTTTCTGTGGGAAGGCGGGGGGAGGCTCGTCACGGATGAGCTGTGCAAATGAGCTTGTGCTTTGGTGATAAATTTTGCATGCGAGTGATTATATGAATCTAGTCGATTTTCCCCTAAACAAGTGATTATGTGTAAGGGGCTGTCGCATATCAAAGTTGGTGACTGATGATTTATATTATTAAATGGCAAAGCATTTGAAACGCCGTTTAATACAACGTAGCTAGAATTCTTCCAGTTAAGTAATGTGTAATGAAACCATTTTCTCGTCCACAGTGCTTCAATGTCTAGTCTGATTAATTTCATAGATAAAGTGCCCGATTGCTACGACATTGTGCGAAAGAACAGCGCTTTATGCAGCAAATATATGTTGTTAGTAATTTTTCTCTTTGCCTGTTGAGACGCAGGATTCCGACAGCAACGATGAGCGAGTGATTGGCCGCGATGCAGGCCAACTAGTGCGCTGTACAATGCGAGATAACTTGGGTTACCATCGGACTCGTGTAATAGCGTTACGGTCCAAGGGCGGACATCGATACAAGTGGCGCTACTCTAGCGGTAAATCTGAGAACTACTGACCGATCTCTGGTCATGTGACCTTGACCCGGTGCGAGCGACTTTAGCGAGTGTCATTTGAGCGAGCGTCATTTGAGCGAACCATTTTCAGCGACTGGCAACTTAGCGAATATCAAATTGAGCGATTAGCAATTATAGCGATTATCAATTTAAGCGAAAGCTATGTTTCAGCGACATCTTTTTCGTCGACTACAGTTTGAGCGACTGTCGTTTCAGCGAAACACTTCATCGTCCCTAACGGTGTATTTTTTTTTTTGCGAGTGTACGTACAACGAATGTTTCCGGAACTTTTCATGATTATCCGGAACTGGATGGCGGATGTCACGTTCAATGTTCAGACATTAAGCTCCAAATTTAATGCCACATTTCTAAAAAAATTCCAGCGGTTCGATTTCAACCCCCCCCCCCCTGCTGTTTGCCAATAATGATGACCAAACGTTTGTTCAGAGATTCATATTGCTTGTGCTGATTTTCGCGAAATTCCCCCGCTTGAATTTGGATCAGTTTCCCGTGCTGTAAAATTTGTTCTTGCCCCAAGCAACGTACGAATTTCCAGATATTTGGGTGAGGTCCCTGAAACATAGACTAGATCCTCCTGTGCCATCCCTCGAGTTTATTATTGGTCCTTGGCATTCCTTCCATCGTCCTATCTCTCACGTTCCACATTGCCAGATCAAGGCAAGATCAAGGTTGCAGAATGAGGCCAGATATTTTTGTGGTTTCCAAGCTTAAAAGCAAATTTTAAATTTGCCGCGCGCAGCTTGAAGCATGACACATACCAAGCGGGTATTCCAAGGGCAAGAATTTCCGAAAAGTAGCAAGTGATTGACTTCCGTCGCGTTCGGTTTCGCTGTAACTGTGTTCGCTCAATAGGTCCCCCATTGACCTCCATATATTCGCTCAATCTGGTTTCGCTAATTCTGGTCCTCGCTTAAGTTGATAATCGCTGTGGATGAATTCGCCGACTTGACAATCGCTGAAAAAGTCAATCGCTTAAATTGATAATCGCTGAAAAGGCTTCGCTCAAATGTCGTTCGCTGAAATGACGCTCGCTCAGGTGTCGCAGAACCACCTTGACCGGCTCCTGAGATTGGGATCACGTGACACTCGGCCCGTGGGCGACCGCTCCGAGGCGAAAATTCAAGTTTGCAGTGGAACTTTGCATAGACGGACACCAATGACATATGATTCTAGATTAGCATTCGATACAGCGTTTAATTCTACACAGAATGACACTAAATTTAAGAGATTATCTGCCATCACTTCATCGCACTTTTTGTGGAACAGAAAGAATGTCGAGGCGACGTTGCATACTAACGCAATGGGAGCGTAGCAGGGCGGCGTGCGATATGTACAGATTTATTGCTTTTGCCAACAAGCGAGGCAATAATAAATTGAATCTAGAATGACATTTGGTACTAAATTTAACGGGCTATTCAATGCTACTAATTATTCGAAGAATTAAAATAACATCTCGTCGCGGATTTCAATTTGCTTACTCGTTAATATTTCCCAGGTTAGGTCGGCATTGCTCGTCTGACATTAACCTTCGAGTTTGCATCAAGTTTTCATGTTGATACGTACAATGAAATGTCGATTCTAGATGGCTTTTCAATAAAGTGCTCAATTCTACACAATATGGCACTATTGAAAAGGATAAATCTGCAATCCCTTCGCCGCACTATTAGTGGAACAAAAGGATATTGCATATATTTGCGATGGGAGCGGGACGCCGCCGCGAACGATGCATGCTAATTGATTGTTGCCAATAAACAAAGGAATAATACGTTGGTTCCAGAATATTGTCCGGGAACACTTTTTACGGGCTTTCTAATGATACCGGGTATTTGAGGAATGAGAATGATATCTCGTCGCAGATTTTATTTTTCCTACTTGTCTTTATTTGGAGGCCCATGGAGCACTGCTGGCCATACATAAGCTTTTATCAATTTGTATTGGCATGCACGATAAAATGTCGATTCTAGACAAGCATTCGATACAACGTTCAATTCTACACAGAATGACACCAAATTCGAGGGATTATCCGCCATCACTTCACCGCACTTTTTCATGTGGAACAGAAGGAGTGTCGAGCCGACGTTGCATTTTAATGCAATGGGTGCGTCCAGGGCGGCGTGCGATGTGTGCATATTTATTGTTTTTGCCAACAAGCAAGGCAATGGTGAATTCAATCTAGAATCATGTTGGGTTCTAAATTCAACGGAATATTCAATGCTGCTAATTATTTGAAGAATTAAAGTAACATCTCGTCGCAGCTTTCAATTTCCTTACTCGTTAATATTTCCCGGCTTACCTATTCGGCATTGCTCGCCCAACAACCAATACCTTCGAGGTTCGCACCAAGTTTTCATATTGATGCGCAAAATTATGTGCAGATTCTAGATAGCTGTTTGATAAAGCAATCAATTCTACACAATATGGCACTGCTGAAAAGGATAATTCTGCTATCACTTCACAGCACTATTTGTGAAATAGAAGGATGTTTCATCGTTTCGCGAGAGGAGTGGGACCCCGCCACGAACGATGTATGCTACTCGATTGTTTGTTGCCAATAAACAAAGGAATAATACGTTGGTTCGATAATCGTCTCCGGTCCGGGAATACATTGTACGGGCTTTTTAACCCTCGCCCGCACATGGGGGGGGGGGTGGTTGCCACCCCCCCGCCCCAGGTAGTCTTTCTGCTCTGCACTCAACATTTTTAGAGCTAGAAGGCTGATTTTTCGTAAAGCTGCTCGTCTATCCTTTCTTGATGTCCACTGAAAATTTCAAGTTTCTGTGATTTTTGGTTTCGGAGATATGACCTTGTTTTTCAGGTCATGTCATGACCCAAATGGCCAATTCTCAATATCTTGCGTTTGCCATGGGCCTTGTGAGCTTTTGACACCCTGATTTCGGCCTTTTTTGCCAGTCTTACCTCCCACCTATCATGAAACATGTTGTTCGACGATGTACAGGGGTCAAGGTCAGGGTCAAGGTCAACCTAGGTCATCTAAGATAATTGCGTTTTAGGCAAGCTGAATTTACTTTTTGTGAAGTTTTTTGACTGCATTTTTGGAAAAAGCTTCTCAGATCATGATTTCATGTAATATGGACCCAAAAACAATCGGTGCACACATCAGTATACACACAGACACACACAGACATACAAACACATATAATTGACCTTGACCTAACTTGACCTGAAATGACCTCAGCAGCAAAATTCTGGTCGGGTAGTGTGACAAAGAGGTTCTAGCTGGCTTGGCACCAGAAAACAGCATCGTCATCGGTATTTGATAAGCAGCGCACTTGATATCCAATGGTGACCCAAAACAGCAACATTTTATAGTTTGACCTGACCTGGAAGGTCAATGACTGACCTGAGAAGGTAAAACTGGGTATCATTGGATTCGTCTCTTCCCAAAGAATCTTTTTGGTCTTTACCGCTAAGCTCTATCTCCAACAGGAACGAAATGGCGCGGGGTTGGCAACCCCCCCCCCCCAATGTGCGTTCTAGGATGGGAAAATGGCATGTGCGAGCGAGGGTTAATGATACCGGCCATTCGAGGAATGCGAATGATAACTCGTCGCAGATTTTATTTTTCCTACTTGTCATTTGGAGAACCATGAGCACTGCTGGCCATACCAAGCTTTTATCAATTTTTATTGGCGTGCACGATAAAATGTCGATTCTAGACAAGCATTCGATACAGCGTTCAATTCTACACAGAATGACACCAGATTCGAGGGATTATCCGCCATCACTTCATCGCACTTTTTGTGGAACAGAAGGAGTGTCGAGCCGACGTCGCATTTTAATACAATGGGTGCGTCCAGGGCGGCGTGCGATGTGTGCATATTTATTGCTTTTGCCAACAAGCAAGGCAATAGTAAATTCAATCTAGAATCATGTTTGGTACTAAATTTAACGGGCTATTCAATGCTACTAATCAATCGAAGAATGAAAATAACATCTCGTCGCAATTTTCAATTTGCTTATTCGTTAATATTTCCCAGGTTACCTTTTCGGCATTGCTGGCCTGGCAACAATAATCTTCGAGTTCGCACCAAGTTTTCATATTGATGCGCACAATGAAATGTAGATTCTAGATGGCTGTTCAATAAAATGCTCAATTCTACACAGCATGGCACTACCGAAAAGGATAAATCGGCTATCACTTCTCCGCAATATTTGTGCAACAAAAGGATATTGCACATTTTGCGATGGGAGCGGGGCGCCGCCGGGAAATATGCATGCCAATTAATTGTTTGGTGCCAATAAATAATGGGATAGTGCATTGGTTCTAGAATCGCATCTGGGAACACATTTTACGGGCTATTCAATAATACTGATTATTCGAAGAATGAGCATGATATCTCGTCGCAGATTTCATGTGTCCTACTTGTCTTTATTTAGAGGCCCATTGGGCACTGCTGGCTATACATTCTTCAATTCTTCTATCAATTTCTTATGGACGTGCACGATAAAATGTCGATTCTAGACAAGCATTAGATACAGCGTTCAATTCTACACAGAATGACACCAGATTCGAGGAATTATCCGCCATCACTTCATCGCACTTTTTGGGGAACAGAAGGAGTGCATCGAGCCGACGTCGCATTTTAATACAATGGGTGCGTCCAGGGCGGCGCGCGATGTGTGCATATTTATTGCTTTTGCCAACAAGCAAGGCAATAGTAAATTCAATCTAGAATATGTTGGGTACTAAATTTAACGGGCTATTCAATGCTACTAATCAATCGAAGAATGAAAATAACATCTCGTCGCAGATTTCAATTTT